GCTAAGAAAAGGAAAACGAGAAGAAAAAAAAAACTCTGCGGGGGTGAATACCCCACCGAGCCCTCCCCGTTTGCCCTGCTATGTGTGTTTGTCAACATCCCCAAACTCTCTCTCTCATTCCATCCACATACCATCAAAAACCATCCATAAACAAAAAAGGTATAGATGAGCAATATAATAGAAGGTGCAAGGTTCCCCACATTTGTGGTTGAGCAGGAAGTGCCCAACACTACAAAAACTAAGGTAAAGAAGGCAACATACCTGACACAGAAGGCTCCACCAGCAAGAAAGCACACAATAGTCCGAAAAAACTTGGAGAACCCTCCGAGTCAGCCCGCAAGCACAGCAGCACTGGCACTCCTATTCCTCCCAAACAACACACTCACGTCACCACTATCTCTGTCACTCCACGACTAAACAGTGCCCATCTGCTTTCTAGCCTCTGGAGTGTATAGACTACCATAATCCCAAAGACCACAAGATCTTCACGCGACACCAGGAAGGCTGCTGCTTAAAACACCCTGGAAGTCCCCGTTTTCCATGTGCTCCAAAAGGGCAGCCCATGGGAATGCCACCCACAGCAACACTCTCTGAGCTTCCTCACCAAGGTACTGTGGCCAAAACTCCAAGCATACATTCACAGAATCTCCATGCGACAGCAGGAGCACTACTGCTTAAAACACCATGGAAGGACCACCATCTTCCATGTGCTCCAAAGAGCAGCCCATAGGAGTGACCCAAAGCAAAGACTCTCTGAGCCTATTGTGGCCAAAGACCAAAGTGTGTGTTTGTCAACATCCCCAAACTCTCTCTCTCAGTCCATCCACATACCATCAAAATGTGTGTGCGCGCGTGCGCGCATGCACACACGCACACAGCAAAAAAATAAAAATAAGAATCGATTCAAATTTCAGTTGATTCGATTGACTAAATCATTCACACACACAAAATGGATTCAATCATTGAATTGATCCAATGAGATTCAATCGATCCCACAACGATTCAATCAATATGATAGATTGCACAACAATTCAATCGATAAAAAATCGAATGAATATATTAGATTCAATCGATTGAATTGATTGTGTGTGTGTGTGTGTGTGTGTGTGTGTGTGTGTGTGTGTGTGTGTGTGTGTGTGTGTGTGTGTGTGTGTGTGTG